TGGATATGTTAAGAGGTTTTCAGAACTGCGCTGCGGCTGCTAGGCAGCCAGGACAGCCCAAGAACCTCGGAGACTCCTGAAGAGAATAGGAACAGACTTCAGTGTCCCCTTGATAACCAATACCACAGTGTCCAGTGTCCGAGGGGGCGGCCACATGGGAGCACTTGCCTCTGTAGCTCTAACCCCCAGTTCGAATGTTTCCTTCAAGTTCACGTGCTGTGTGATAAGATGGAGAAGGCCTTACTCCAGCTCACCCCGGAGGCTGGCCCCCAGCAGCGAGGCTGTGAGACGCAGTCTCTCACAGCCCCACGCTCTGCATTTGGTGGCATCAGTTTCTTGATGCTCCTCAGCTTATCGTCCCTTTTCCTATGTCTCGTCAGTTGGAAAGTTGTGGAAGTTTGCAGGACTAAGCCACTGGACTAGCAAGAGGAGCCGAGGAGGCAAATAGAGCTGAGAACACCCTGTTCTGCTTGCCCGATCATGCTACCTCACGCGGGGCTCACTCTGCCTGGAGGAGAGAACTTCCTTTTCTTTGCACAAAGTCACCACACAGTCCAGCAGCAGCGTGGCTGAGGCATTTGGGGTTCCCTGACCCAGTACTTCTGATTCTACTGCAAAGGCCTAAGATAGATGTCCCCGAAAGGCCAGCCTTCCCATCTTTCCCCATTCCTTTGGTGGACACCATGGAAAAGGGATAGCTACTGCATCCTCTTCATCACCTGTTTTGGAGATCGTAATTTTATTGGCCACTTATCCTGTTCTTGGCAGGGGGGAGTAAAATACCCTCTTGTCTTTAGTAATAGTTGGATTACCAAGCTGTTTGTTGTTGTTGTAATTTTTACATAGTTCCTTTCCAATAGGGTATTAATCCTGAGAAAGCACAACCTTTGACAACCTACTCTATAGATGATGTAGATGATGGTCTTATTTTTTTTTTAAAGATTTTTATTTATTTATTTGACAGACAGAAATCACAAGTAGGCAGAGAGAGAGGTTGGAGGAAGCAGGCTCCCCGCCGAGCAGAGAGCCTGATGCAGGGCTCGATCCCAGGACCCTGGGATCACGACCTGAGCCGAAGGCAGAGGCTTTAACCCACTGAGCCACCCAGGCGCCCCTTATTTTTTTTTAAAGATTTATTCATCCAATCCAGAGAGAGAGAGAGTAGGGGGAGGGGTGGGAGAGGCAGAGAAAGAGGGAGAGAGAGGGACAGAGGGAGAGAGAGGGAGAGAGAGTGGGAGAGAGGGAAAGTGATGGTAGCCCAGGTGTAAGTATCTGACCATGACATGTCTTCTCTATTGCTACATGTCTACACTGACTTGATGAGATAAAAATTATTTGTGACTTTCTTCGTTATAGTTTAATATACATATGTATATCATGTATATGACATATATGATTACATATACATTAGGGATTTACGTACAATATAATTTTTTAAAAGATTTTATTTATTTGAGAGAAAGAGAAAGTGCACACAAGTCGGGGCGGGGGGGGCAGAAAGAAACAGACTCCCCACTGGGCAGGGAGCCCAATGCAGGGCTCAAGGCTCCCAGCACCTGAGATCATGACGTGAGCCAAAGTCAGACTGAGCCGCCCAGGTGCCCCCAATATAATTGATGCTGGGTATAATTAGTTTCTTTAACTATGACTTCCATTTCAGAATAATATAAGGGTGCTAAGAAATAATTGTGATGGGGCTCCTGGGTGGCTTGGTCGGTTAAGTGCCTTCGGCTCAGGTCATGATCCTGGGGATCCTAGGATTGAGCCCCTGCATCAGGCTCCCTGCTCAGTGGGGAGTCTTATTCTCCCTATCCCTCTGCCTCACCCCATCTCGTGCTCTCTCTCTCTCTCTTGCTTTCTCAAATAAATAAATAAAATCTTTTTTTTAAAAAAGCAATATCTGTAATGAAAGACAGGCATTGGTAAGGTTAAGACCATTGGGCTGGTGGAAACAGAAAAGCTTTTAAAAAGACTTCTATTCAGATTCTGGGTCCAGGGGAGGGTGTGACTGGGATCAATTCACCGATTTCTTTGAGTCTTGACTTCTTTATCTATAAAGTGCAGATAGCAATTATAACCTAATCGAGGGCCGTTATGAATGTGAAGTATTAGCCTATGTAAAACTCTTCTGCCCAGCATACAGTAAATGCTGAAAACTGGTAGCTACTATAATCTTACTAAGTGGGGGTGATATATACTTCACAATGTTCTATCAAGCAAGGTGCTATATAAAAAGTCCCTACCTGACTGATGCCCAGTCAAGAGCACATTTCATTGAGCCCAAGCTGTACGATTGTTTTAGGTACCTCCAAGGAAGGGGAAAAAAAAAACTACTTCCAATTATGCTACAGCTATAAATAGGAAGGCAGATCCCAACTTCAGGCATGTCAGATGTGAACATTTTCACATTAGAATCAAAACCTTTGGGGCACCTGGGTGGCTCAGTGGGTTAAAGCCTCTGCCTTCGGCTCAGGTCATGATCCCAGGGTCCTGGAATGGAGTCCCGCATCGGGCTCTCTGCTCAGCAGGCAGCCTGTTTCCCTTCTTCTCTCTGCCTGCCTCTCTGCCTACTTGTGATCTGTCAAATAAATAATAAAAATAAAATCTTAAAAAAAAAGAATCAAAACCTTTTTCTGTCCTCTTTCTTATTTAACTAGTAAGGAATCTATGCTCTCTAGAATTTGGGATTTTCCTTGGCTATTCTTTTTCCCTAGGGTCTCCTACTCCTTGGCTACAGGGGTTAACAACAAGCACCATAAGTTTTTTGTTTTTTTTTTTTTTAACACTATCCAACAACAAAAAGAGAAAAAAGGAACAACCTATTGATAAATGCAATAACATTAGATGATTAGATTATGTTAACTGAAATAAAGCTAATTCCAAAAGGTGACATACTGTGCGGTTCTATTTGTATGACATTTTTAATTTTTATTTATTTTTTAAAGGATGTTTTAAGGATTTACTTTAGAGAGAGAGCAAGAGAGGAGAGAGCGGGATGGGGGTGCTGGGGTGGAGAAGGAGAGGATCTTTGGCAGACTCTGCAGGGAGCGGAACCCGACCGGTGGCTTGATCTCACCACCCTGAGACCACAACCCTGAAATCACGACCTGAGCCAAAACTGAGAGTTGGATGCTTAACTGACTGTGCCATGGGGACACCTGTGTATGACATGCTTTAAATGACAAATTATAGAGATGACAGGGCTATAGTTTCCAGGGGGTTAGGAAAGGAAGGAAGCAGAGAGGAAAGTGGGTGTAGTCAAAAAAAAAAAAAAAAAGGACAACAGAGGAACTTCTATATTGATGAAACTCTTCTATTTTGACAATATCAATGTCAATTTTCTAGTTGTCATACTGTACCATAGTTTTGCAAGATGTCACCATTGGGAATACAAAATCTCTTTGCATTATTTTTCACATATATTCTCCCATATGAATCCATAGTTATCAAATTTAAAAAGTTTAGGGGCACCTGGGTGGCTCAGTTCATTAAGCATCTGCCTTCAGCTCAGGTCATGATCTCAGGATCCTGGGATCAAGCTCCACATTGGGCTCCCTGCTTAGCAGAGAGTCTGCTTCTCCCGATCTCTCAAATAAATAAATAAAATCTTTTTTAGAAAAACTAAGAAGTTTAATTTTCAAAATCTGGTTTCCGCACTGAGATACAGAGATCCAAAGGCTTAATTCTAAGTTCAATATAGTTCAACACTAGCCTTTTGTGTCTTTTAAGGTTGTAAAAGGTAGTTTGCAAGTGCATAGGAGCCCACAGAGTGATTACCAGGAAAGAGACAAAAGATAACAAATGTTGGTGTGTGAGGGTTTCTTAGGGACTGGTCAATCTGATCAATTTACGGAATTAACAATACTGTCTCCCAGCCCCTGAACACAGTGTCTTTTTCACTTAGTTCAATCTTGCGTAATTTCCTTAAAAGCTGTTTCATTTCTGTAAGGTCACTAATAATACTCCCTCTTTCATTATTGATTTTAATAATTTGATACTTTTTCTTGATCAGTCTAGCTGAAGATTTGGCAAGTGTCTTGATCTTTTCAAAGACCCCACTTTGGGTTTTGTTGAATTTTATCTATTGTTCCTCTATTCTCTATTTGGTGATCTCTGCTTTAATCTTTATTTCCTTCTTTCTGCCTCTGTTGGGTTTAGTTTGCTTGTCTTTTTTTGGTGTCTTGAGGTGAAAATTTAGGTTATCAATTGGTGGGTTTTTTTTTTTAGTGTTTATTTTTTATTGGGTTTTCTGTGTAACTTTTATACTATCATGATTCCCCTTTATTTCTCCCATCTCAGTGTGAATTCAAGTGCTCAGAATTCTTATTCTTATAGGAGATAAATGAATACAAAAAATAAAAAACTTCTTCCTAGTTACCTAAGGTGTTCAGTCTAGTCATTTAGGTTCGTACCATTTAGTGATACATCTTTATAGCCTTAGAATTAATGGAAGGGTCATCTGACCACAGGCACTTCATGTAAACAGGAACTAATGAAGACTGGGAAGAAGTTCAAACTAAAAATACCAGTGTTGGGGCGCCTGGGTGGTTCAGTTGGTTAAGCATCTGCCTTCAGCTCAGGTCATGATCCCAGAGTCCTGGTATAGAGCCCCGCATCGGGCTCCCTGCTCTGTGGGGAGCCTGCGTCTCCCTCTCCCTCTGCTGCTCACCCTGCTTATACTCTTTCTCTCTCTGTCAAATAAATACATAACATCTTTAAAAAAAAAGAAAAAGAAAGAAAGAAAGAAGTGTTAAGTTTCCTTGAGAACAAATTTATGTAATGTCAAAGGTGGTAGAAAGGCCAAATAAATAAAGATAGAGAACAGGAAACGTTCCCACAAAATAATTACCTAGATCTCATCAAATGCTCAGGACACTATTTATTCAGTCTTCCCTAGCAAGTACATGTTATTAATATAGCTGGTACATTACTTGGATAAACAAACAAACATCATAATTAAAAAAATAATAGCAAAGCAGAACTCAAATATTCAAAACAAGTTTTTGGCTATGCTGTTTGTTTCACATAGGACACTCGGTGGACAATAAATCGGTTACTTAAAAGTCATTTCAATTAGAAATCTCTTTAGTCCTTCATCAACTATTTCAAGTGTTCTGGTCTCAAATACATTCCTTTCTTCTACAAACTTCTGAAAGAGATAAGTGCCTCCACCTACACCAAAATAATGTGCTTTGCTTGCTAAAAGCACCCGTCCATTCTTATCTAACAATCCAAGGAATGTCTGGTGCAAAGTACTGTAATAATCTGGATTGTAAATGGTTTCTGAGGTGAGAATGAGATCATATTTTTCAAAGAAGTTCTCACTACTTAGTACAAGCTTACAAAACTCAGACCACTCCCCTGAAAAGAACCGGCATTTACATAATTCTTGTGCTACTTCTGATTTCCTGCGACGTTTCACATTGGGTTCGTTGACGTCATTTCCTTCATCTTCCACAGTGAAGTTAGCCACTACGTTAGGTAAGGTTACTTCATCAATCACTGTGCTGTTATAATCTTGAAAATGAATTTCTCGGGCCCCTCCCTTGAATGCCGCTATACCGAGCAACCCGGATCCACAGCCAAGATCCAACACTTTCTTCCCAGCAAATTTTACCTGGGCCTTTGTGAAATAAGCCAGTAGGTCAAAGGTACATTCCCAGATTTTTAAGCCTCCTTCATAAACCCCTGAAATCAGATCAGAGTGAGAAGAAATGCTTTGTGACACTATGTTTTCTCCAGGGACATTCTCTTTCAACAAGATGGTTTTCACAACGGATACATTAACATGTTGGGGACCTGGTAATGTTTCCACGACTTTGTTTTCTAGCACTTTCATTACATCTTCGGGCAGAGGATGCTCTTTGGCCACTCTCACGCAGGGATGGTTTTCATGCGGCTCCAGGTTACGTGAGCTGTTTGCTGCACTGACTGAGCGGTCTGTGTCTTGAGAGGGAGCTGTGCTGCCCACTGGCTTACGCTCCAACAAATGATCCTGAGGCCACTCAAGCTGTTCTGTAGAACGTTTTCTGTCTCTACGTCGACCTTTTTTATTTTCTGAGACTGAAGACTCTTTGGAGGAATCCAGGGCCAAAGTTCCATCTCCAAGGGGTGTGGATTCATTTTCCAGATGGTTTTCTACAGTAAAATTAAACTGAAAAGTCATCCTCTCAAGTGAGGCATACAGTCCTTCAATTCAAAGGAGGAGTCTTCGACTTCTGGGTAGAACCGATGACACACACATAAACCTGCTTCAATTTTTGTTAGTTTTGCTGGGGATCAATTTTTCCTTCGCTGCTTACACACAGTTACACAGACTGAGAGATATTTCCACACGCCTTTTTAGAGGTCTTCTCTCTCCTTTCAAATTAGCTCTGGAGGAAAAAAAAGAAAATTGTTACTAAAAAGTAAAACGAAGGGCACCTGGCGGGGCCAGCTGGTCGAGCATGTGACTCGATCTTGGAGTTCAAGCCCCACATCAAGCACGGAGCTTATTTAAAAATAAATAAAATAAAGGTTTTTTTTAAAAAAAGGAAAATGACATATTTCACTAAAACGTAACATTACACAGCACCCCCCCCCCCCAGCTGCTTTTCTGTAAAAGCGATGAAGGGAGACGGATGTAAGGGGAAACACACCCCTCAGGCTTCACACAGACGAGGACGGCAACTCGCACAAACACGAAAGCCCACAACGGCCGAGCGGGAAAGACAAGCCCGACTTCGTCCTCACCGCCGTGATCTTGCCGCGACGCCTCGACCTCCGGGAGCGGCGGGATCTCTCCACTTCGGGCCGCTGCCGCTTCAGGGAATGGAGCCCCTTCGCCCCCGGGAGTGTGCGCTCCGGGGCGCGTCCGCCGCCCGGGACCTTGGCCACGCGCCCGGCGAAGCCCCGCAGCGCCGACGCCCGCAGCGGGAGGACTCGGGAGCCGCCCGCGAAGGCCGGTTTGGCTCCGGAGAAACCAAATGCGGCCCGACCGGAGAGTCGCTGCACGCGGAGCCACTTCCCCGAGGCTGCGGGAGGCACCGGCCCCGCGGGACGCCTCGGTGCCGTCCGCTGCAGCCCAGCCCGGCCGGCGGCGTCGTCACGTCAGGACAGCGGACCTACCCCGGGGGGGCGCACGGGGAAGTGGGTGGACACGTGCCTGTTTCTACCCACACCCCCTGCGCCCCCAGGCCCCGGGGCTCGGATTCGTTTCCGGCCTCAAGTCCCAGGTCTCCCGAGAGCCCAGAAGTCGCAGAGAACAGGCGGTAGCAAGTCGGGGGGCTTCCGCCTGCACCCCCCAAAGCGCGTCAGGGCAGCGCGTCAGCGACCCGGACCTGAGAACGCCCGCGGCCGGGGCAAGTCTCGGCACCCGGCGCGGGAACTCCGCGCGCCCCGCGGGGCCCTCCCTCGGGAAGCGGAGCGTGTGAGGTGAGGCGAGTCCTCCGTGGGCCAAACAGGCGCGGCTCGAGCGCCCCGGGAGCGCCGCCCGCCCCCTCTCTATGGTCCCGGAGCCGGCGAGAGCTCGCAAGGCCTGCCGGGAGCTTCCGGTCTGGGCGGTGGCGGGCGGGCTTGAAGCTGCGCGCGGGCGAGGCATGTCGGAGGGACGCGCGGCGCCGGGGAGCGCCGCGCCGCTGGAGGAGTTGAGGAGCTGGCCCGAGGAGCTGTGTCGCCGGGAGCTGCCGTCCGTCCTGCCGCGGCTCCTCATATCCTTCCCGGGCCCTCGCCCCATGGAGGAGGAGCGGGAGGCCTCGCGGCTTCGCTCCGGCCGCGGCGCGCTGGCGGCCGGGCGGGCGGCGCTTCTGAGGTCTGAACCCTCACCGGGTGCGGGTGGGCGGAGGAGCCGCCGAGGCCGAGGAGGGCGCGCGGGGAGCTCGGGAGGGTTCGCGCCGGTGGCCGCCTGACGGGGGCCGAGCCTGTGGCGTCTCCTCCATTCCTTGTGCCGCTGAGTCCTCTGCGCCCGGCACGTGCGGTCAGGGCGGACGCGTTCGCCGGGGCAGCGCGGGGCGCGGCTACCCGGGCCTGACCGGTCCGCTAAGTGAGGGGCAGACGGCCCTGCCCGCCAGGAGGCTGCGCCGGTGCGGGCCCCGCAGCGCTGCGGGCACCGACGCGCGCAGACGTGCCTGGCGCCGGGGGGCGTGAGCGCCCCAGGGAACGCGCGCGCCGCCCTCTTCCTGGTGCCGCTTCCCGTCGTGGCTGCGGAGGTGGAGCTGCTGCGGCGCAGGTGGCTCGCCTGCTGCGTCCGGGGGGCTGGCCGCCCGGTGAGTCTCGCTGTGGGCGCCTGGAGGCCAGCACTCCGGCAGCCGGGGGCCCGCCTTCCGCACGAAGCTGCGCGTGAAGGAAGAACCACCTTCGGTCCGGGGAGCCTCGGATTGCTCACAGCCGCGGGCAGACGCGCGCGCCGCCTCGGGGACACGTCCTCGCGTCGCGTGGGCGCGGCCCCGCCGAGCTGCAGAAGCGTTTCTTGCCGTCGTGCAGGTTCAGAGCCGCGGTCCTCGACGACTGTGACTGGGAAAGCGCGTAGCCGTCTGCCCGCTCCGAACCTGCTGGGCGGTGGTCCAGGCCGCACGGGGCGGAGCGCGGGTCCTCTGTGCGCTTCAGGCCGTGGGGCCTTCAGTAACTGCAGGTCCGCGTTCCCGCTCGGTTCTGCGTCTGACTTCACCTGCAGGACAGCCTAAACCTCGTCTTCCCCCAGTCTTGTCTTTTGTCTTTTTTTTCCCCCTAAGATTTTATTTGTTTATTTGACAGAAAGAGACAAAGCGAGAGAGGGGAGTGGGAGAGGGAGAAGCAGGATCCCGCAGAGCAGGGAGCCCGATGCGGGTCTCGATCCCAGCTCCCAGGGATCACGACCTGAGCTGAAGGCAGACGCTCCACGACTCAGGCACCCAGGCACCCAGGATCAGTTTTTAATTACAGTCACATCACCCAAACATTATTTGCATATTTTGCATTTTACATATTCTTTTCTAGCCTTTACCTGCATGTCTGCATAATCATAAATGAGGTTTAATTTTGGAAGGGACTAGAGTTTTTTTGACCTTGGCTGAAATTTTTCTGTAAGACAAATTCAACCCTATTGAACTAAGTAAAGTGAGTTAATGACTGCACCTCATTTTGATTGCTGCTGTAAAATTAGTATGTGCAAAGTAAGATGTCAGAAGATCAGTTCTTGTATTAGTGTTCTGGAGTTACAATCTCTTCATTTTTCTTGCTGACACATCCTTTAAAACTTCTTTTACAATGAGAATTTCTAATAATTCTTAACGGTGTACAAGTACAGTTTATAGTGGGATTACCGCAACTTTTGTAATGGACATAGGGAAACTTACTATCAATTTATAAGTGCTATGTGCAGGAGAATTTCAGTCTGACGAGCTTTTTAAGAGTCACACGAGTAGCATGAAAAGAAGAACATGTTGAGTGACTTAATGCAGGTGCAAATAAAATACTGGAGAGGTTCAGAGGAGGGAGAAATTCCTTTTCTGTTTTAGAAACAGAAATCTGTGGGTTATTATAGTACTGTTCTCTGTCAAAAGCATGTCAACTACACATAGTTTGAAAAGACAATTTTATCCCTGCTCAGTTTTGAAAGTATTTCCTTGAAGTTTGTTTACCTAAGAACATTAAATTTTTAAAAGTAAAATTAAGCCAGTAATTGGAATTTAATTTCAATTTCTTACCGCTCATTGCCTGAGCTTCAAGAAGGCTGCTTTGTAGATTTATTCTTAGCAGTGAATATCCTATTACTGTGATACTGTTACCTTCCTTAATTTTTTACTCTATGTATCAGCATTCCGACAATTGGATTGAGGATATTCGTAAGTAAAATTGTCTTAATTGTTTACTTTGATGCCTTTAAAGTCTGAGTCCTTCATATCTCAGTACAGTTTCATACTCCCTTTAAATGTATTCTAGTAGTTAGTGTTACAGCCTCTAAATTTCAGTGGCTTAAAATGACCAAATTCTTTCAAGTAGTACTTAAAGTTTTAAAATTTTATTTCGGATGGGTGCCTGAACTGTGGTTAATGTCCATACAAGCACATTGAAATTTTAAATGTTGGTTGTTAAACTGGTTAGACTCACATAAAACCTAATTTGCAGTCTGCTTTCAGGTTGACTTTCTCATCTTCTCTGTGTTCTTTAATCTTACTTGGCTTATTTATTTACTTATTTAGTTAGGAGAAGAGATGAATTAAAGACCAGACTACACAGTTTACTCCTATTTTGAGTTAGCTTATTCTATTTACACTTCACTTTGGTTGTGGATATTTATAATTTTTAATCTGTGTTGTGTGTTGGGTGTAGTTTTCTTAAGTAATTTTTTTTTTAATCCTGAGTATATATATTTCTACAGTGATTGCTTCTTGGCCTTTTCGCTAAGATCAAGTGTATTATCTTTCTATAGTGAATATTTATACATATTGTTTGTAGGAAATTTGAAACATGCAGAAAATCAGAAAAGATAATGAAATATCCATTAATCTGAAATGGTTAAGATTTTAGTATAGAACATTTTCATCTTGACTCTATACATTCTTACCAGGTTATTATTCTTTGTATGTACATGTTTATATTGAGATTGGGATTATACTATTTTGGAAGCTTGATCATTTAACCTTAAAGTACTGTGAATATTTTTTCATGGTTTTAAATGATCTCTAATAATGATTTTAATGATAGCAAATTCTATTCAGTAGATGTACCCACATCCTTTAAGCGGTCCACGAAGGGTGGACATACAGATTTTTTTTTTGAGTTTTTGTTTTCTTGTTATTATTTTAGATACTTAATGGTTTCTCTGCGTAGGGGTACCTGGGTGGCTCAGTCGGTTAAGTGTTTGCCTTTGGCTCAGGTCATAATCTCGGGGTCCAGGGACTGAGTCCTGTGTCAGTCTCCTTGCTCAACAAGGAGTCTGCTTTCTATTCCTCTCCCTCTCTTCCCTGCCCACCCCGCTCGTGTGTGTGTGTGTGTGTGTGTGTGTGTGTGTGCATGTGTGTGTGTAATAAATAAATTTTTAAAAAAGATTGTTTACTTATTTGTCAGAGAGAGAGCGAGCGAGCACACAAGCAGAGGTAGTGGCAGGCAGAGAGAGAAGCGGGCTCCCTCCTGAGCAGGGAGCCTGATGCTGGGCTCCATCCCAGGGTCCCAGGATCGTGACCTGAGCAGACACGTGACTGAGCCACCCACGTGTTCCAATAAAATCTTTTAGTAAACATAGTTTTTCTACTTAGAAAATGGCATTTTTGAAACTACAAAGCTTCAGATTGGTAGTACTTACATATTCTTGCATTTGGGGAAGTGGCGGTGATCTTTGTTCTCCCATGTGACTTAGAAATATGTTATTATTTTGCTTTACAGAAATTCTGAAAATTATTGTGGAAATGTTTTTACCTCATATGAACCACCTGACACTGGAAGAGACTTTCTTCTCACAAGTGCTGCCAAAGGTGTCGTACTGTCGTCATCTTCATCAGTCTCCGTGTTATAAAGGCTGTTTAAATCTAGTCTCAGTTTTAAATCATTTATTCTTAACTTTGGTTCCTTGATTTTTTAATGTATCAGACATATTTGATATACAAATAATTTAGCAAGAAATAGAGTTCAGGTGAGAACATAATGGTGTTAGTGTGATCATTAGGTGATTAAAACATTGTAATTTTAAGTAGTGTAGATCCTTTAATTGAATTTATATTATTTGTAGGTAATTTTAAGTGCTTCTGTATTTTAAAACAATTCAATAAATATGTGGGATGAGTGATGAAGTTAGCTAAGATCTTTTCTGTAGAGTTTATTAATAATCGTTAAATTTTATTGTCT